CCCGCTCGAGCGCCGAAACCCCCGCTCGAGCGGAGAGGCCAAAAACTGAGCAAAGATTCTAAGTTCTAAAACATAACCAACTTATTCCCAACAAGTCCAACACAACCCAAAACTCTAAGATAAAGAGTAAGGGATAGAAAAGAGGATAAGGCAAGAACAAATCTACGGAACCAAGTCCGGATTACAGTTAAACAGTAACAGGGAATACCGGGATCGCTATAACCTCCCCCCCTTAAAGAATTTCGTCCTCGAAATTAAGGATATGCCAAAACACAAGGCCAACAGATCATATAACACCAACACCCGAGTACTAGGAAAGAAGCTACTCTCACTACAAACCTTTAATCCACTCTTACCAAAGAAGAGACTAACTAAGGGAACACGTTCCAAATGACGACATTCCAGATGTGACCGTCTTCAACAAAAGCAAACCTTTTGAGTAAATAATAAGAAAACATTTTCTTGGTCAAGAGACATTTCTCAAAGATAGTCAAATTTTCAATGTTGACATTTCGAAATAAACTTTGCATTTTCCATGCGAAACTCAAAAACTTTGTATACATTTTTCACCAACACGGTGTTATCTAATACACAGTCATCCACCATTTATTTGCCAAAATCATTCATTTGAAATTCCTCAAAACCCTTGAATTAAATCAATTTCTCAACAACACCCTTAGGTGGCCCAAATACTAGGAAAAGTTTTATTTTCCATTTCTTTCCAAAATAACATTATCAACAACCATCACGCACACGGTGATACCACAACCAACACAGAACATAACATTTCTATTATGATAGTTAATAGAAATAATAACAGCACTATCAACAGATAAGTATAAAAACTATATCACACTTCCAAAGATAATCATATGAGCTTTATCTATACTACCACAACAGATAAGCATATTACACATTAACAAATAAGCATATTAGCTGTATCCGCACTTCACAAAGATAAGCATATGAGCTGCATCTTCACTTCTCTAGACAAGCATATGAGCTGTATCTACGGAGTTCATCCTCCATCTCATCCCAATCCTATCCGGTTTAGAGGTACATCTCCCATCTTCCCCTAAACTGCGGAGTACATCCCCCATCTCCTCCTCTACACACAATGCATATAAACACAAAGGTTCTATACACAATTAATCAATACATAGAATTAATGTATTCTATCAACCGTCAGATTCAATGGCATAACATGTTCGATTAGTTTCAGTTTTTCTTAACCAACAAACAAAGTCTACAACAAACGAGACTAACTTCGAGGTGACCGATGTCAACCCAAAACCAGATACCAACAAGCTGACTAAACAACTTAATAAACTCCACACTCAGTAATCCACACACTGATGTGCCACTAACCCCACACGCGGAGTTCCCCACACAAACCCCCAAATTTTGGAATCTCACTGGATCTCCTAAAATCAAACCACACCAACATTGTGTCTAAGGGAATTACTATTCCCCCCCTCCCATGGTTACGTAACAAGCCTGCTCATCTCCTTGACCGAAAATCGACTTGGTAAACCTTAATTACAACAACCCAATCACGAAGGACAATTTCACCAACGCTATTCTCGTTACTCTAGAACACAACTGTTCTTCCTCTTAAGAATGCTGCCAGCCTCCACTCACAACCATACCCAACATTCACACATAACCTTGCCAACATCCCGCAACTCTCAAAACCACCACATCTAACACATTCTCCCACGGATTCCCGTTCTCAACAAATAATCATTAAAGTGAATAAGGCACACAGGCCGTCACACAACTAACTCATCATACAGTACCAAGCAAGCAACAACATTAGGATCATTGACCCCATTAACAACTTCTCAATAAAAGAGAGAGCTTAAAACCCATACATACTCCCCAATACCTGAGGGTTAAACAAATAACAAAGTACATATATACGATACAAAAACATGGTGCCTCAGCATCCAACAGTACACCGGTCAACAACAAGATGATTCACATGATACACCACCGGCCAACAACACAAAAGTCCCCCTCCAGGGTAATACTATCAAACTAACTAATAAAAAAAGAGAGATACAAGCATATGAGCTGTATCTACGGAGTTCATCCTCATCTCATCCCAATCCTATCCGTGTTAGAGGTACATCCCCCATCTTCCCCTAAACTGGCGGAGTACATCCCCCATCTCCTCCTCTACACACAATGCATATAAAAACACAAAGGTTCTATACACAATTAATCAATACATAGAATTAATGTATTCTATCAACCGTCAGATTCAATGGCATAACATGTTCGATTAGTTTCAGTTTTTCTTAACCAACAAACAAAGTCTACAACAAACGAGACTAACTTCGAGGTGACCGATGTCAACCCAAACCAGATACCAACAAGCTGACTAAACAACTTAATAAACTCCACACTCAGTAATCCACACACTGATGTGCCACTAACCCCACACGCGGAGTTCCCCACACAAACCCCCAAATTTTGGAATCTCACTGGATCTCCTAAAATCAAACCACACCAACATGTTCTAAGGGAATTACTATTCCCCCCTCCCATGGTTACGTAACAAGCCTGCTCATCTCCTTGACCGAAAATCGACTTGGTAAACCTTAATTACAACAACCCAATCACGAAGGACAATTTCACCAACGCTATTCTCGTTACTCTAGAACACAACTGTTCTTCCTCTTAAGAATGCTGCCAGCCCTCCACTCACAACCATACCCAACATTCACACATAACCTTGCAAACATCCCGCAACTCTCAAAACCACCACATCTAACACATTCTCCACGGATTCCCATTCTCAACAAATAATCATTAAAGTGAATAAGGCACACAGGCCGTCACACAAATAACTCATCATACAGTACCAAGCAAGCAACAACATTAGGATCATTGACCCCATTAACAACTTCTCAATAAAAGAGAGAGCTTAAAACCCATACTACTCCCCAATACCTGAGGGTTAAACAAACAACAAAGTACACATATATACGATACAAAACATGGTGCCTCAGCATCCAACAGTACACCGGTCAACAACAAGATGATTTACATGATACACCACCGGCCAACAAACACAAAGTCCCCCTCCAGGGTAATACTATCGGGCTACTTAATAAGTCGCCCCTCGCGAGGCTCCGAAGCCTGGCCTGACCGTTTCTGGTACCGATAGCGTCCTTGACTGGAACGTACAACTGAGTCTGACTGGGTTTTGAAACACCCGAAGACTTTACACGCAAAGGACAAAAACGTCTACCATGGCCCTGCTGACCAAAACGAAACAACCACCAGACCCCCTACTCTGAGACTGGTCTGAAACCTGCACCTCCCCGGACCTTCCAACCGAAGTGTCCGAACCCCTGGCGAAGAAAAGGAACCAGCCCCTGACTGAGCATGTTTCCGCCTCCACCCCTTACTGAGCCTAGAAGTATTCAGGAACCGAAGGACTTACCGCAAT